TACATACATACATACATACATACATACATACATACATACATACATACATACATACCCCTCCCTCCCCGATATACTTATATCTGAATACATAATTATTATTATGTAATACCAAGCCCAAAGTTCAGCTTATTACCCTATTTCAAATCTAAATCCACACCACGCAGATTGAACATAAACCTACATTCCCTAAGAAACTTTCTTTGTCCATTATCCACTTCAACTATTATGTTGGTACATTTCCAAGTTTCTTAAGTACTTATGCGTTAAAAAGTTTGGTTTGATTTTATTCCATTTTTTTGACAATAATGACTTAAAAGAAGTTACACACTAAATAATAATCAATTATCGCATCGAATGATATTAGTATAGGTGTGTTCTTGTGTTTCTTTTGATGACAAGGTCTGTTTGTGGATGTGAAAGGTAATATCATGTCGTGAAACATTTGCGTGGCATCGTGGGGAAATGAAGCGCTCGTCAAAATCGTGAAATCGGAGAAACATACTTTTTTTTTTCCCACAAGTTTGACAATTTTTATCAATTTTTCTTTTTTTTGCTCAACACATTTTATTTCCATTTAGAAACATATTTCAATTCGGATTTTTACTGTAAAACGTTGACCAAAGGCACCAAAAAAATGTAAACTTGCAGTTTTCACGGACTTTCAAGCTTTGGAAGTCACCAAACCTGGGCCGTCGTTTTCTCGATGATTTTACCTGTGACACTAAGCAACTCTCACTTCTTTCACTCGCAGATATCTTGTTTTCTATTCAAGATAGATGGGCCGGGTATGTACTTTTCATCAATAAGAAAACCAAATGAACAAGCTTTAAAAAAGATATAAATAACTCCATATGCCCCAAAATTGACGAGCGCTCGATTCCACAGTGTAGTATGAAATTTACTTTTGCCTGTGAACAATGGTTAAAAAAAATGTTATTCATGATTTGAGTTTGGTGTGTCTCCGTTTGTATCCCTGAATTTGTATGTAGTTGTGTGTGTATTGTGAGTGTGTCCGTATAAGCGTTTTTGTTTATGTGAATTAGTAAGCGTGGTCATGTGTGTGTGTGTGTTTGTATATGTGTGTTCTTGTGTGTGTTCTTGTGTTAAAGTATGTTCGTAATCAGGAGAGCTTCAGAGAGAGAGAGAGAGAGAGAGAAAAAAAATAGAAAGAAAGAAA